ACCGCAAAAGTGGATAATCCGGCCGCTCGCTTTCTACCGGCTTATTCGCGATCTGTCGGTCGACCGGACCTCTTCGAGGCCTCCAAAGATCCGAATCGAGATGCCTCTTTAAATCTTCCCTCCAAATCACGTTTTCCCCCAAAATTCTACAAATCTAAAACCGATTAAGGTGGCACTGTGTACCAGATCGTTCGAAATTTCACCACGCGAATGTGGAGGCCCTAGGGAAAGTCCCTTCGCCCATGAAATGTAACGTTTCATCAAAACTAAAGAAACTATTTATAAATAAATTTGCAAGTAGACATGATATTCGGTTGGTGAAATTTCAAATGAATCGGTACCCAGTTCGGGATAAAGTCTTATAGGTATTATCGAGTGACCTTAATTTCAGAAAACGTCGACTTCGCAATTACAGTAAGTGGCTGGAACTCGCGGTAGTTGAAGAACTATTTCTTTCCTAGGTCCCAGCGATATCGATCAACCGAGAGACTCAACCCTTTACATCTGCAGAGGGAATCTCGGATCGACATGGAGTCTTCCTCCCGATCTCACCCTCGCGCAGCACGCAAGGTCGCCGGCTCCCGTTGCCGCCTCGCGACTACCATATAATTACAACGAACAAAATGCTTTATGCGCTCGAATGGGTGTGCTAGTACCGTCGTCGTAGTACTGCACACATGCGAGGTCGTCGCCAGGGTACACGAGCCTTAGCGTTCCTGCCCAAAGCCCTCAGGGTAGCCGACGAGATCTGGACCGGTTGCATAGTCGAGTGCGTTACGTCGCGTTACGCGAAGTAGCCGCTGATTACGATACGTTAATTATCGTGCGAACGTGGTTAGCATAATTACTCGCGGAGGGAACATCCAGCGCACCTTTCTAGTCCAACGAGTACCAACATACGTGGTATATACTCAGAAGTACTAGATCGGTATACAGACTGAATGCGATTGCGCTCGAGTCACGGTGACGAGTACATTCGGTTTTGCGAACAGTGCAAGATGCAAATGTATGTAGTCCGACTAATGTACCAAATGAGTCGTTGCACCAGACCGAACGAGGAGCATAAATCGCGACCTGGTAGTCCGTCGAAGTCGAGGCCTGCTACTCTCTTTCCGCCCTCGCAAGAGCCCCGAACCCTTTCGGGTCTCCTTGGGCCCTTGGAGGGCCAGAAGGGGCAGGAATACGAATTAGTATCCTGGTCCTGCGGAGGCTGGGCCCGGCGATTCGGAGTGCTCCAGGGCGCCCTGGGCGACGCTTGCCTCGGTGGGTCTAGCCACCGCTCTCTTCTCTGTAATTATCCCGTACGCAGCCTCCTCTGCTCCTCTTGGTCCATCTCCTTGTCCTGCCTTACGCCTCCTCCTGGAGCCATCGGCTATCCTCGACCTCCCTCGGGACTCTTCTTGTTGCCGGGACTCTCTTCTCTTGCCCCGCGTGCTCTCGGTGTTCCCGCCCAGGGCCAGTCTCTGCATTTTTAACGGCAACCCTTTCGCTCCTGAAATCAGTGAATGACCTTTAGGAACCGACTTCTTGCCTTCCCGAAGAACCCCTCGAAATCCCGAGTCCCGATCCGACCTTTTCTTCCCCGAGTACTAATCGATTACGGAGGTTACTTCTACCCTAATTGAATGGTGTTTCACTGCCCGGCGCTTCGGTACTTCCTTTGCAGTACTTAAACACCATTTAATTACTCCGTACCTCGCAATTAGAATTCACTTAACGATCGGCCACTGTAAACTGTATTATCGGGGGGCCGCTTAAAGATCTAATGGTTTTCCACCGTGGAATTAAATTTTGCGCAAGTTAAGAGCTATTTCGCAATCACTCTTCCCTCTGACTTCTACCTCCTTTCCTTGTTTCTCGTGTTTTCTGGTCACTTGCACTTCGGGGACCTCTTAATTGCCGAGTACTCTCGAGTACTAATTCCTGGGCAACCTGGTATCGCGGTCGATCTCCTAGCTCGTTGTCGGCGGGTTCGATTAAAATATATCCACCAGGAGGCGGAAAATCCGTTCCTGCAGCTGCGTGCCTATACGCTCCCCTGAACCCGAGATTTATTGTATTTTATTACGTTAAGGACGCGTGCACGGCGTCAAACATTTTGTACGATACGTGCAATCCTTTCACGAGCTAATGAGCGCCATTATGCGACGGCCGATTACCGAGATATAAAATATTGCCTGTTATCGCGAGTGCAACTTGCAATTTGTCATTTCCCTCGGAGATCTCACAGCGGATCTTGCGAGCTTAATAAAAAAAAAAATCGGACATTAAACGCGTTCATTTCTTAAATCCTTAAATCATTTTCCTGCTCAACCGACGTTGAAACAATACGTGGCTTTGCAATATTTTGGCAAGGAATATTTTCACAAGGTGCACTTTTTCTCAACCTCGCAGGTATTCATTCTTGACCCAACGTCGCATTTTCCGGAACCTGAATTAATTTGTCGTTTTCCAATCTACCCTATTTCATGCACCGTCTCTAAAACTAATAATATCCATAGATGACGAGTCACGATTTGACGAATTCTCATGAATAATCAATCCGTTCCGTGACGTCGCGTGTCTTCTCAAGGCGGAATTCTTACAATTTCCGGGACGCCGCGGAATGGCCGGAAGTGGATAAAAACAAGTGACATGAAACCCTTCGGGACGATTCACAGAGATCCGCAATTCGGCACGATTTAACCCTAGGAAAAATATCCCCACAACAAAAAATTAAATCCCTAGTCCGTAATAATCTTCGTTTCAATCTTTTCGAAAATTTAAGGCCTGGGCATTTAGGCGGCAAAACTTCAGACTATTAGATTTCAGCTCTGGGAAAAGTCTCATAAACGATATCACCTTAAACCTCCGTGACTGCAACGACATGTCCCATAGAAATTCCGCGAGAACTCATAAACTGAATTAACAAAAAGCGTCATATCGTAACCGTACGATCGTGGATTCGTAATGGCTCTGGCAGTATCGAGGCGATTGGTCGGAAGTAGTTTGTAACGATAAATCGAGGGCCTCGCAGACTTCTCTCGATGTCGAGGGAACGCCGTCTGACGCGTTAACACGAACCTGGAGGAGCTCGAGCAATTTATTAGAGCGACGTCCGCAGTACTCGGAGGAAAGTTCCTCTTGATTGCGGCGAGCCATCCGTCGAGAGGGCGTGTGGTAATCCACTTTATCCGTCACACCTCGTGGCTAAACCACCGGCATTGATTTCGCATTAGTAGACCGACACCCTGGTGCCTCTTCCGTTTCCCCTTCGCCGTGTAACGCGTGCACGCCGTGAAGGTAGAACGCCGAGCCAGCTTGCCGGGGGTTGCATGCCTTGCAACCTCGTGGGCCAGGGTAAACCTGGAGGAAGGGCACGTTTGCAAAGTTAGCGCCATAAGGTGGAAGAGTTCGGCACGCGAGCCCTCGAAGGGTGGAGGGAAACCGCAATATTGGATTAATGGGGAACGCCAATGGAAACGGAAGGTGGTACCGCGCGGTTTTGGGGGAAATAATTCTTTTAACTCACGGAGGAGTTCCACACCCACGAAGAGAAAGAATCCTCATCGTTGGTACATCTCGGTCCACGAGGCCTGAAGTAATTAAAACCCTAATATTAATAACAGCTGACCTTACAAAATACGTTTCTTCGCGGTTTTTACCTTCGGTCACCGCGGGGCATAAACGACGTGTTTTAGAAATAGCGTTATCGGTTACCCATAGAACGGTAACCACTACTTGGGCAATCTTACGCTTTAGTGCCCTATTACTCGCGGAAAATAACAAGTATAAAAGACAGCCAGGTTTGTCTGGGAATGACAAAGGAATTTTTACCACCCCGCGCTAACGATCACGGTTCGGCAGAAAAAGCAGGCGTCCAGGAATTTTTCACGACCAACCTGGTTTGCATGTGGACATTACGTAACTCCCTGTGCATCGATACCGTGGACACGTCGATTTAAGATTCCTCAGCAGGCTGTAGAGCGTAGGTGCATCGATTGAACGACACGGCGAGGCCCTCTGAAACAAAGAAACACGCGGTAATTTCTTGCGCTCACGTTAGGGAGATAATTTTTTTCGGGATTTAATCCTGCCTCACCATGCGGCGATTTTTTCACCGAGTATTCTTCGTGGTGGTTCTCGGGGAAACGGCGAACGCCGTGGCGAGGCATCGCAAGAACTCGCAGCGGCGGATACTCCGAGCCTCGGGGCACAAGATGGCGGCGGTATCCTTGCGATCGTGATCAGATGCAGCGGCGTCGGTTGTCGGTTGACAAAGGGCCGGAGGAACGCCCCTTTAGATCGGACTTGCAACCGCTCGCGGGGGCGTACATATTAAAATCGAGCAAGCACCCTCCTGCCGTCCGGCCGCACCGCGTTAAGCCTTGTTTATTGCGCCGGGCCCGCGAGCGAGCGGCCCCTGCAAAATCGGCTTTTAACCAAAATCATTTAAATAATAAATTCTAACGATACGCGGAACCGCCTGCCGGGAGCGCGCCCCTCCGCCCCGGGAATTTTAAACTTTGTCGACGTTGGTGTTCTTGCTCCATAAATTTAAATGAATAAGTAGCCGCCCTTCCCTCGGGAATATTCATGCGTTTACTTACCACGCCGCGCCGACTTCCACGGTGAATTATTACGTGTCGGTGCGACTCCTCGTGTTATTGCGCTAATCGTAATGTCGCCGGTTTGCCCCGTGTCGACGCTCTTGACTCCCAGCGAGGTAAACGATCGGAACTCCTGAGAATTTAAAGAGGTTTCGCTTTATTTTTACCCGATTATGAACTAATACTAAGCTCGGTTATTACTGGTATTGGTAGAATAGGGGATAGCGGGTAAAGTCGGCAATATTTTCCCCGTCTCGCGTGGCGAACCGTTCCCTCCTTTGTGCGGCGTTTCGCGACGGCGGCGCCATCTCGGAGGGCGCGTGAGAACTTCTACCACTCCTCTTGTAAATCTCGATTTTATCGACAATGAGTTATAATTACTGAGTTCTACGATTTCCCGACAGGTGGAAACAACATTCCGTTTCCATCGCCACGTTTTTTCATAAAAATACTAACAAATCTGATATGTTTAAGTATAAATATAAACATTATAGTGATCTCTACTAGGGATAGAAACTCTGGAACTGAAATGTCATTTAATGTGAGTATTCGGAGAAATATTTTCATTGCAGTTTTAGGTAATCTGAATATTAACGAACTCTCGCGAGGAAAACTTGCAACTGGCTTTCTTGCTGGTCGGTAAGACTTTAAAGACGTTAAGTTATTGTTTTAATTATTAAACGGGAACAATTATGAGATAACATGTTTCCTTTAAGTACGCAAAAGAAACATTGGATGTTCCGCGATGAGAACGAGTTGACAGCCCTGCGGGAAAAGACTAATGCAGAATTTATCGAAAAACATGGAACTGGCATGACGGTATGTAGGTTATGTATAAATATTGCATTCTACAGCTAATTTTGTTGTGAGATTGGTGTCTACATTAGAGTCTGTTGAGAAATAATCTAATTGTGCTTCAATAGGTAGCTTAAAACTTAATATTTAATGGATAAAATTGACTTATCTTGATACCCTTTATACAGGAGGAACAGCGAAAGGAATATTTTCTTTCAGTCTCGGATGAGCGCATGCTTCTTCGTCAATATGAACTACAGTTACGAGACTTTTGTCGACGTTTTACTCCACCGATGCCACGTACCACCGTAGCAACTGCTTTGCATTATTTCAAGAGATTTTATCTTAGAAATAGCGTCATGGATTACCATCCAAAAGAAATTCTAGTTACATGCGTTTATTTAGCATGCAAGGTAATTTCATTAAATTTTATGTATCTGCAGAACGAAAAGGGATGCTCCATAATGTGTTAATTTGAAAAAAAATATTCTGTTAGGTTGAAGAATTTAATGTTTCGATATCTCAGTTCGTGGCAAATATTAAAGGAGATAGGGAAAAAGCCTCTGACATTATTCTCAACAATGAATTATTACTGATGCAGCAGTTGAACTATAATCTAACGGTACATAATCCATTCAGACCTGTTGAAGGTCTCATGATCGATATGAAGGTAGGAACTATTTTAGCTTCTTTATCCTTTCATTATTACTATGTTTGTTTATGCAGAGATTATTGGCACCGTACCCTTGTGACTTATATTTTCAGACTCGATATACCTTATTGGAAAACCCAGAAAAACTCAGACCAGACATAGACGAGTTCTTAGAGAGGATTTTCTTAACCGACAGCATTTTACTCTATGCACCTAGTCAAATAGCATTAGCAGCTACTTTACATGCTGCTTCTAGAGCTGCAGCAAATTTGGATAATTACGTGACGGACACCCTATTTTCACGAGACAAGTTAGTAGGAATAATCGAAGCCGTCAGAAGTAAGTCCTGCAATTTTTTCACATCTATTCTACAGTACCCTTAATCCAATGTCACGTATATAAAATTTTAATAACCTTTCAGAAATAAGATCGATGGTTAAATTTCTGGATCAACCACCAAAGGAAACGGTCAGAGCTCTCGAAAAGAAGCTCGACAAATGCAGAAACCAGGAAAACAATCCCGACAGTGAGATGTAAATATTCCACGATTATTTCTACAAGTTCAAGAATCTACTTTTATATCTATTACGTAATAATGGATGTTCTTGAAATGACAGTTACAAGCAACGCATGCAGGAGATGCTAGACGAAGAGGACTTGCGGGACAACGAAAAATATGCAAAGATCATTCAAGACCAAGCAGCTCACGATGAGAAAATCCTGGGTGTTAGCAAAGTTCCTGACTCCCTCTCGTTTTTATAATAAACACTCAACATCTCTCCTGCATCGCACCTTCCAGTGCCTACCGTTTCCTGATCTCTAAAATTACCTCCAAATCATTTATTAAACATAATCTTACTCTCATCAGATATAGGTACAAATGAAATTCACTCCGGAACAACTGCAATTCATAATCCCAAAAAACCAAGCAAGCCGTTCCGTCAAATCGATCGTTCTAATCATACCTGAATTATTGATTAATACGCATACAATGTATCCTTATTATAAATGCATTAACATTAGTAAGTACCCATTCTCCTTATCGGCTTAATATGAGATTTCCTCCTCTCGACTCCACGCTATCATACACCTCAGATCAGCAGTTCGAAAAGCGCTTTAAAAAAAAATCCTGAAATTCCTTAATGAACCTTAGATATACTTTCGGACTAGAAATTCCTCCCCTCGTGACTTTCGTCGGCAAGCAGGAGATTTTTTAGAGCACTCGTGGTCGAAGAGCGGAGAAAAATTCACGGCGCTTCCTGGTGGTGCCTGAAATCCAGTCTTTGGGTTAGATGCCTCGGAGGATGACTGGCGGGGGTGTTTTGAAAAATCGAGCCCTGTTGGACGACTCCCAAATTGCTCGGCAAGGGTTGGACGATCGGCAGAGAAGGCGGCAAAGGAAGCGGCGTTAAATGTGCCGGAAGCAACGGCGACCCCGGCTGCAGTTGGCCGGGATAGTTGAAAAACCTGCGGCATAAATTCATAGCTCATTTAAAACATCCCAAGAGAGCTTCCGAGAAGCTACATGTAACTGCACCGGAATGCACTAACTAGGGTACGCCTTAAAGGGGAAAAAACGGTACCATAGTCGATCACCAACGAAAATGGGCCGAGGTGCTGGAATGCCCAAACTGGAGTAATACTGCTGGGCCAGCAATTCCACATCGTTGGTGTACTTTCGCTTCCACTTGGTCCGCCGATTTTGAAACCAGATCTTGATCTGTAAGAAAATAAACCCGAGGTGGTTAGAAAAAAGTGCCCTACGATGCCTGTAAATATTCTTATAATTAATATTACCGGTGTATCGTTATAATTAGTATTTTTTTACGCGGATCGTGCAAGGGTGCTTTCCCTCGGAAATAAATGTCGGGTATAAGAGCGTAATTGTACACGAGATCGTCCATTAAATCTCGTTTCCGAAGCGGCTGTCCGACAACGCGGTTAATCTCTTAATCTCCATTAAGGCGGCATACGAGGTGCGGAGCCATAATCGCGGAGAAGAGGAGAGAGAAAGAGAAAGAGAGCACGTGTCTTCCCGGGGACTTCTCGAGAAATTTGCGCGGTCCAAATAGGCGGCTGGCGCAATATATCCTAATTAAAAAATCGACGCCTCCTCGGTCCGTCGCCTCGACGCCGGTCCTCTCCCTGGCGGCCCCCTCGACGCCTCCTTTTCTCCCTTTTGGTCTTGCACGCCTCCAGGAAACCGTGGTACGAGCGGCCGAGGAGGAAACCGGAGAACTCGCTCCTCCCTTTCCTTCGTTTCTCGTCTCTCCGGAGGACCCCTCTTCGTCTCTTTCGAATATCGGAATCTTCCTCTTCTTCATATAAAAACAGCTGTTGGGGAGCGCGAGGACTATCCTTCAGTTTAATACCATTTTCATAAATAATAGAAAAAATTGTTGATGTGGATAGATCATCTGCAGAGTGGAGACGACTTCGAGGGTGCATTTCTTCTTCGGTTCTTCCTCACTTCTCTCTCCCGTCTGTCCTCGGAGACGCCGTGGAACGCGAAGACGAAGAGCAGGCCGAAGAACAGGGGACTTCTGGATGCCGCGGCTCGTTAACTCCGAGAAATATCGTGACAGTTATGTCCGCAGCACGACGTGTCCCCTTCTCTCTGATCTGCCTCTCCCGTGGTCCAGCTTGGGACGCGCCGGCACCCCTTTCGGATGCTGCGATCCGCGGTGGATAATTACTCCTCAGCCTGGGGTATTTTGATCCCGTGACAAGATCACAGGGACGATTACCCCTCCTCGAGTACACCCGTCTTCGGCCAGGGTTCCTCGCGGTGTAAATAGCCACTCTAATTGCGCTGCCGAATTGTCTGCAAGGGCACTTCCGTGGACCCTCGAAGACCTATCCACGGAATTAAGACTTGAAACGCTTAGAAACCAAGTACTGTCTCCTCAATTAAGGTAAAGTGCCATTCGAGAAAATCCTTTTCTCCCTACCGTTTGAAACTCCACCGCCTGAACATGCAAGCTTTAAAAAAGGTCCTGACAATTTTTGTCTCTAATTACTATATTGACATTTTTTAATAACCAATATTCTATGGGTGTTCGGACCTTCGTCCTAGCCTCCATATTCGCGCTGTAAACTTTGAAATGATTCGGTACGCTCAGTTCGGAAAAAAAAAGCTCCGTAGAGTTCTTTAACGCCACTTTCATGTCGCCTTAAGGTAATCGTAAATTTCTTCTTTCAGGTGGCTCTTCAATTTCGGAATTAATTGCTTCCTTGCATCCTGATGTTTGATGAGGCACGATGAGGCATCGACTGCTTCTTCCGATGAGCAGTGTGGAGTCTCTTCGAGAAGCGCTTGCGATTTTAATGCATGTGTAGAAGCGAAAGATGTGTACGTGGTAATTGGTCCTGCAAGGGAATCCGCCCTCTCGGCGCCACCAAGAGGCGCCTCCACATGTGGTGCATCGGAGCTCATAATTCAAGCCCTGTTGACCCCTGGGGTCATGGGGACCCAGGCTGACAGGAACTCAAACTATTTCAGGTGACGATGCCTGCATCTGCGGAAGCCAACTATCGTCGGGATTTATCAGGAAAACTGGATTAAAAAGCTGATGCGCGTTTCGATCGAACGATCCCACGTAAGTAAAGAAACCACGTCTTTCGAACCTTGACCTTACTCAATTCCAGCTCCAAACAATACTTCTAACAACTCTCAATGTTTAGGGATTAAAAAAAATGTCGCTTGATTGCATCTAATCCCCATAAATCTCTGTGTGAAAAAAAAAGAACTGGCGTTAAGTAGATGTAAATAAATGCAGATATAAATGTAGATAAATGCATGCTTATAAAAACCGAGGTGATTACAGAGTGCTTGCTAATGATGACATTAAGCTCTTTTGCATGTTACTGCGTATTATGCGTGGGATAGATTCGATTACTTGTAAGGAATATTTCTAGATGCGGAAGAGGAGAAAAAAAAATCTGGTCGACGCGGGAGAGAAGACTTCCTTCTTCGGGGTGATTTCGGGGAGATCGACGACCCCCTCCAAGATGTCGTCGTCGATCTCAGGGGACGTTAATGATCTCCAAGGGTGAGAGAGATGGAATTGTATGCCGGATGTTCACCTGCGTTTCCGTTAACTTCAGGGTCTTGCTCAGCTGCAACCTTTTGGCCACGCTGAGGTACTTGTTCCTCTCGAATTCGGCTTCCAAGGATTTTATCTGCGACGCCGTGAACGCCGTTCTTGGACGCTTCTTCCGGTCGTCGTCACTTCCGAGGTCGCTTCGTCCTGGAATGTCCTTTTCCCTGGAGTCCAGGCTAGAGGAAGAGTTGGTACCGCTGCTGCTAGTGCAGGCCTCTGGAAAATAAATAAATTAATTAATTAAACAATTAAATTCAATCATAATGTCGCAGGACCTTTCGGCCAACTCGACGATATTCTGTTTGTTTATTATCAATTGTATGATTTGAAGATAAATCAGTAGACGTTTATTACGGATTTATAAATTCGCTGGTTCGGTTTTAGGGCATCTAATTTTACTAGGATCTTCGCCGAGGAAGGTGCATTTGTTAATGTTTTTTTAAGAGTGTATCGAGGGTAAGTTCGAGCGATGTCATTAGACCGGATGAACATTACATCCGGTCATCGGGGAGTAACTCGATTCACGGTTGAATCGATATACCCAATGAATACGTTCAATAATTTACCGGGGAATTATTCAATGACGGTCTCGTGGCTCGAGTAATAACGCTCCTGAATGGCGCATCGCATTATCATCGAATAAGTCACTCGACAATCGAATCAACATATTGATCCGATCGATTCAATAATTCATCGGTATGCGCGATGACTCTCATACATCAACGACCGGCAACAAATCGGCTCGCTAGATAGAAATGTACATTAAATCAATATTTCTCTCGGTACTCCCTGTCAAAATTTCATTTATCGACTAATGTACAGGAATAAAACCTTCAATGCCGATTTCGAACGCAGGAATTAACACCGCAAGGAATGATCTCCTCGATAATTAAATCGAGCGACGATAGAAGATAGAATTTTAATTAATGATATTTATTAGACGGCTTGAACATTTTCCGATGGCTTTATTTCTAAAAAATTCGCGAGAGTAATGTCACCACCGAGGTAGAGAGTCATTAATCTTCGGAGTTTTTTTTTCTTTCGTATGCTTGTTTATATTTATATTTATCCCGAGCTTGCAAGTCAGAGCGAACCTCGGAGACGCCTTTTGGTCTCCCGTCTTGTTCCGTTGAAAACCGTGTCGAGCTTTTAAGCTCTCCGGATCATCTTTTAATTATCCGGCCATTAGTCAACTGCGGAAACGTTCCCGGGCTAAATTTCTTCCTGATGTTCCACTCGTCGCTTCTTTTCACGAGGTGACTCTTCCATTAACATTTCGACGGACGGAACGAAAACTGACGAGCGTCGTATAAACGTATCGAATGGCGAATTTACGTGATTATTAAAAACCGAACGTTATTATTAGACCTGGGATAATGTTTAAACACGCATGTTTAACCATTCGTTATTAGGAGTTATTTTCGGGAAGAAAAATGGAGGAGGAAGACTATTTCGAAAATTCCTAGACACCTACACCTATTCCTACATCTTGGCCGCCATCTTTCTTTTTGCATCGTCCTTAGAGTTACGTCCCTAACGAATTTATTTTATATATAAATGTTGGTTAGGACGAACACTGTTATAAGAAAGGAGTTATTTTCGAAAATTCCTGGATACATTTCTCGTTGCAGTGAAATGTGTTCCAGGTGGTTCTCCACTCCATCTCCGCCGCCATCTTTCTTTTCCTGTCGTCCTTAGAGTTCCTCCCCAACGAAAGAGCGGGTTATTTCCGAACTTAAGAATCGACAGGGGGAAATCAAATTTCGAAAATCCCTGACTACGTCGAGCCGATGGTAAGCCGATGGGAGAAGTTTCAGGTGGCTCTCCGTCGCGCTCGCCAAGGCGATAAATATCCCGAAAAACTATTTGTGGAGGGACCGCGAGGACCACGAAGAAGCGTTTACCGGCTACTAATTGTCAGAAGCCGACGTAATTGTCGCGTTTCTCGGCTTTTTTCTTAACTTCGCCCCGACGAGCGTCGCCGAGCTAAAACGGTACCGAGTCGAGCAGAAGAAGAAGAAGTAGTCGAAGACCCTGGAATATCCATTACCGAGGACATAATCCACAAGACACCTATCAATACATTTGACTTCCGAATACATCACGTCTCCAGTAATTTCATAAACTCCCTAAGGGTGAGATATCACTTAAATTATGAAAATTCATTTCAGGATCTCGCTAAAGCTACTTAAGGTAACAGGAATAAATTAAACAAACGTTTCGCGTCTTTGTTAATTTATCAGAACCGTTTAGTTCCAGGGAATAAATAATAATTCTTTCCAACACAAAGGAGCTCCTCGTCGCCGGATGTTCCCGAAGACGTCGGCGAGGTAATTTGTCGGCACGTTTCCGAGTCGGTGCAGTCGCGGATCGTGCATTTCGGATTCGGGGGAGGGGAGCGAAAGGGTTGAAGCAACCCCGAGGGCAAAGAGAGCACCGAAAGTGCGACGAGAAGCCAGACTCGAAGTGGCCGATGGGCAGGGAACCCAAAGAGGGGAACCCCGAGGAACGGACGAGGCTGCAGGAATAGAACACCACGCCTTCTAGTTTACCTAATTGCCGCGAGCTACGCCGAACTTGTCTCCTAATTATTCCGTGATTAATGTCCCTACGAGGAAGCGGGACATCCTGAGAGATGACTCGCGAGGATTCGCTTCGTTGCGGAGACACTAATTTTCATGGGAATCGCGTAACTCCGACAGCCCCGACCTGTCCAGCTAACCATACCGGATTTCGGACGGTCGGGAAAGTAAATTACTTATAAGAGACGTTGCTCCGGTACCGCGACTTGGGAAAATGCGAGAAATTCCCCTCAATTTATTCCCAGATGGAATTTTAGGACAAACTCTCGAGGTTCAAATCGTATCACTCGTATAATCCAAAATGGCGGACGCTGCAGATGGGTCGACTCGTTGCGAAAATAAATTGCGAGCGGAGACTCTTACTCCGCGACGTGGGAAAATGGGGGAAATTTCATTAAAGATCTTCCAAGGTACAATTTTAAGATACGTTCTTCAGGCTCAAAACGTATCCTGATTTTCCCAAGGATCGGAACAGAAAAGACGCCGCGGAGAATCCAAAATGGCGGGCGCTGCAGATGGGTCGAATTAGCCCTCGGCACCTTCGCGAAGGAGAAAAACGTCCAGGATGGTCGGAGTTTCCTCGGGTTTTCTTCCTTTCTGCCTCCCGTAGCGGGGAGCTAACGTTTTGCTGCATTTCCAGGGCAGAATTAGCGAGAGACAGATAAATAGTGGACGAGGAGCCAGGAACATTGAGTGGGCGTGGAGCCTGCAGGAAGTAATGGATCAAACTCACCGAGGCGTCCACGAGCACCTACCGGGGCCTTCAGGGGCAAGGGACACCGGGTGCCTCCTAACATCAAGAATAATTACACCCTTCGATTTCAATATGTCCAGAAGTACCAGAGGGTAGCGTTATCCGAGCCTCGCGTGACGCCATGTTGAAAATAATTCTCATCTTTGCGTGTTCTCAACGACGCTCCGCGTCTCGTCGAAATCATCACGAATTAAAGTCTCGGGTGAATCACACGAACTTACTTAAGCAACTACATAGGCTTCGGTACCCTCTACAAAATTATAGCCTTATAATATTCCATGTATTTTTGCACGCTAGAAAGATATTAAGAATAAAATTCTTAACGATAGTGAAGTTCATCCAAATGAGGCGTAACAGTCATGGCCGCCTCGCTCGCCATTCATAAAACTAAAATCGCTTCACTGAACCACATACCGACTAAAAGTCGTCGTTCAAGTGCAAGATTAATAAAACAAATTACAATTTACCGTAACTGATTTCCGGTTCCGGGGACGTGGAGCAAACAAAGTCGGAATCTTCGGTTTCTTCCGCCATGGAGGAGTCAGGAACGACCGAGAGGCGCGACTCTCCTTCTAACGCGATGTCATAAAATTAAATATAATTAGTTATGCAACCCGGTGTCGCTGACAGAATTTTTTATAAAGAAACATAAGCCAAAAATGGGAACGTCAATGAGGTAATTTAACGCACTATTTAAAATATCGCTTGGAAATCATTTTTAACGGTGTACTTACCCTCGTGCCCGGAGTAAGTATCCGATAAGGGAACAATGGTCTGTCGACAGGATTTCCCTTCCTCTTCTGTCGATCTCGAATTTGGAGCGAGGAGTCTTTCGATGCTGAAAGCCGAAACTTTCGAGCTCTGGTATCCCAATTTTGACTCTTCCGACGCTCTCGAGTCTTCCTTCTCCATTTTCGCGAGAAGAGACCTTTTCTCTTGGATCCCTGTAGTCTTCATCGACATCGGCACTTCCAACGATATCCCTTCTCGTTATGCCACGATAATATAATTACACATTAATACAATCCACCGAGACTTCAAATTAAGAAACAAAGATCCCCGCAACTTCGCTCTCTCATTCATGCGAGCGAGTTCACTTCACCACAGATGTACCAAAGAGATGAAAACGACGCAATTACAACAATTAGTTGAAAATCCCTCTCCCAGACCTACAATAAATTCAACAAACACTAGTTTTACATATCTTCCAACCGCATAAATCGAGGGATTATGCCCCGCTTAAAAAAGCCACGGCGCAATTCGAGAAATTATTTACCCGCGTAAACAAAAGAACCGACCAAATAAATTCCCGCTACGAATGAAATTGACAATTTGAAATTCATTAATTAAAGTCTTTCGTCCACGTTAAAGTACACTTCTGGGTCCCAGGTCTCGCTTGGAAGGGTCTTTCGGGAAATTCGGAGCCACGAGAGCGACCTTGCTGTCAACTACTATTGACTCTGGCACCAAACTGATCGGTGTTCCTCGTTCTCAGATTTGGCGGAGTTCGGAGGCTGCTTCGAGATGGCTCTTGAGGCTCGGATTTTTTTTGGCAGCCCAGTGAAATTCTTCGGGGACGAGGCGTCGCCGAAAAAGCCACGTGCTCGTGACGTACCAACCCCCAGGACCAATCCCGGTCGAGGCTGGGCGGTTCTTGGCAACGCACGTGCGTTTTCGTAAAAAGGACCCCTTTAATGATCTCGTCGGACGAGCTCGGCCCTGCTTGCTAAACGGTGGTAACGAGCTCCCCACCGGATTATTTATGGGCGTATAACACGGGAAACGACGACATACTGTCGCATGGCCGACCGGCTCTCGATCATTGGGAAACGTACAAATTTTAGGCGCTCACCTTTGTGTATTCTCTATACAATGAATCTCCTTTGTTTGAGGGGATGCCATTCGTTCATGAAACTTGTCTCTTAACTAGGTGTGCCGTTTCAAACTTGACAACATGAATAAGAAGGCTGTAAGAAAGTTCCCGACACCCATAAGATTTCACTTTTAACAACAAATCTTTATAACGTCAGTAAAGAAATTTTCTAAACATTGAAATCTGGTGTCGGGACCTTACTTATAGCCTCCACGTTCACGTTGTTGAGTATGAAAGGATCCACGCCATTTTCGCAACACCTTAAGCCAGGGATGGTTTTTATGGAGATCACTAGAATATCAGGCACACAATGGACTCGAATTTCTGATTGTCACCGATACTGTACCGCTTCCGATAAATTGATTTCATGCCGTGGATCTAGGAGGAAAATGGGATATTTTAGAAACGGTGTCATTCTGTACTTTTAACGTGGAATAAAAGATTTACGTGCACTTGCGTTGCATCCGAGAGCATATGTAAATCAGCAGAGGGTCAGTTTACACGAACAAGCATTTCTGGGGTTCTGGTAGACCTCGAAAGCACGAGACTCTGAAACTCGAGACTGGGGATGACCGCAGTGTTTAATAATTATTTTACGCTTTATTAATGTCGGGCCTCGACCTTAAGGCGTGAACTTGCAGCACGTGTGACGAGTCACGGAAACAGAGCTCTTGGTTTCTCTCGGAAAGCCGCCATGCTTTTGGAATCACATTTCGCATGGCCTTTCTTCGATTCCTTGTTCACGCCTTGTTTAATGGCCACGTCCCGTGTCGTCGCTTGAGGACTCTGCCGACGAAGATTTATGCCTTTCCTTTTTTCCCACTAAAAACAATGCCGAAACGATTAACCGAACTTCTGCGTTTTATTTGCAACCAAGAAAAGTACATGCTCTCGTGCGCAGCGTACACTGTTAAAAACGTTTCGTTATCTCTCGAGCACTCTCGATTACAAATGTATACTAAAACCAGAAACAGATATTTTTAACAGTGCAGTCAACTTTACCGTAAAATATTAGTGGTCTTAACTACGACATCGTTAACTATTAGTTATAATTACAGTTGATCCTTTGAGAAATTAACGGGGACTCTAAGGTGCGAATGTGCGATCTTTTTCTTTTTCCGGGCTCCGGAAAGTATCACGTGGGTACGGCTTAAACGTTCCGTAAAAGAACGCGTTCAAGTTTATCTCTTCAATCTGGACGAAACCCAATAATCCTACGACTAAATATTTATTCATAACTTACTAGAGATCAAAGCTTAATCTTACAATTTACAATCCCAAAGTGAACTCGTTATACCACTCGATTGTTTTATTGCCACTTTGAAGGTTCTAGGATTCAATCTCAAACGCGAATCTTATGATTCGGAAATAAAGAAAATGATATTTCGTAACTCCGATTATGTCTTAAGATTTCTAAGACATTCAGGATAATAAAGAAATGAAAGTGCAAATTTAATGCAGTGTAGAGAATTTTCAAATCGACTTTGAAGTTTGAATACGTGGATTTTATATCGCTTATGCGACTCAAGTGTAACCTGATTTGTTTTGATTTCAGGTGACGTTACTTTAATCTTTTGACATTATACCTTTTGTTCAATTCTTAACTAAGCAGTTTGTGTTTTACATTTGCTGTGTAGAATTTCCATTCCAGGTATTATTCTCGTCGTTATCGCTACCACCGGAATGAAGTCTATGAATATTGCCTTGGGATCGAATTGTTGTTGTTCCTAAGTTTCTTCGAAATACCCTGCCAGACAAAATAATATAGAACATTTAACTGCAAATTTGCGCAATAACGGAAAAATTATCAGAATGAATGCTCGTGATATGAGTAATGTTTAATACTCTTACGTCGTAGGCTGACCCATCGATTGAACTTCAGAATATCCAGAACCTTCGGCATTGGTTGATGTCTCCGAAGAACTATTACTGGGCCTACTTGAAATTCTTCGTGGTTCTCCAAAGAAATATCCCATGAAATAATTATAAATTCCTAAGATAGGTGCAACGAAGGTCCACATAAATCGTGAAAAGAAACCGACATCTTGACCTGACGTCAAAGATGTGGCATTAACAGTCTGAAAGTATAAAGTATACATTTATGAACACGTAAGAAAATTAACGTACAATTATTATTCCATGTTTTTCACTTACATTCTTTAATGGTAAAATCAAAATAACAGCAGTCGGAACCAGCCCCAAATCCAGGAGAGTCTTGGACTCGTCTTCGGAAGTAAGATCTCTCCTTGGAAACGTTGTAGACATAGTAAATTGTTGAAATGGCAATTGAATGTTCTGCACTACGTAATTTCTCAAACTTCCAAGAGTGTTCATTGGTTCAAATTGGCCCATGTGTGGATTGCCGGCTGGCAAACGAAATTGAATTCTAGTTACTGTTGCATTGACATTCATCGGTGGAGGTGGTGCCGATTGCTGTTGTGGCGGTTGTTGCTGACTGGTCTGTTGCTGTTTAATAAAAAAAATATTTAGCGTTAATTCAAACATGTAGAAATCGCCGTCTTGAAACAATTACCTGCAATGCCAATTCTCGCTCTTTCCGCTCTAATTTGTCTTGGGCAATCTGCTGTCGAACTTTCTCTCTAGCAGCCGCTTCGGCAGCCTTTTCTTTTATTCTCTCCTCATGAGCCTGTTTGATTTCTATATCCTGTTGCTTTCGCCGCATCTTTAGCACATCTTGTCCTATTTTTCTTCGTTTAATCTCACATTCAATTGATTTTCGCTGTTCTTCTTCTGCTCGTTGCTTCTTTTGCAACTGGATCAACTGCTTGACCCGTTCCAATTTTTCCTGCAAGTTGATACTAGGTACAAAATCTTTATAAAAATCTTATTGATAAACGCATTACTAAAAACAATCCAAGTACCTCTGGCGTCAGCTCTACTTGTTCATTTATATTACTATCACTTGTACTTGGATCCTGATTCACAGCATTTCCTAATGCTTCTATCTTTGCGACTTCTGACGACCCTGCGGTAACTTCTGCAATCGCTGCAACTTCTTCTGGTTTAGATGTTGTAGACGCTATGTCTACGCTTAAATTCTTTTTAATTTCATCTGGAACAACTTCAGAACCTGCATGAACTTCAGAGCTCGAACTACCACTGGATATGTCGCTGTTCCGCTGCTCAGCTTTTATCAAGTTAACCGATGAATCTTTAGCTATTCTACCAGATTTACTGAGAATAGAATCAATTTTGGAAGCAAGCTCTGATGCCGTGACACTGCCAGCAACAATTTCCAAGGGCGTACCATTCTCACCAATGAAAAATATTGACGGTACAGGAACCAGTTGATCTAAATACAAGCGTAAAGGCTCATACAGAATTGTCTGAATTAGAACAAAATTTTAAATTATTGTAGAAAAAATTTTCCCACAAGTATAAAACGTTCAAAAGGATACAAATTTGTGAGAAGAATCTATAAGCATCGGAAGTACTCTCCAGTTTGATAGCTACAAAATTCTCAGTTCCCAAACGCGAAGAAACCTCCTCCGCATCGATGGCTGCAGCGAATTGAACCGACGCATCTTGTTTACCTAATTTAAATAGAAAAGTTCTTATTAATAAACGATATAACAAACATAAGGTAAGTACGCATAATATGATTAACGGAAGTCTGTGACGCAAAAGGACAATTAAAAGCTTTTCTCAAAGTGAATGACCTACAGTGAATAAGCATAAAACCATAATCACGGTTGATGATTCATAACGTCATTGCAATGGCCACGTTAATGACAACATTTGTGGAGATTTCCAAAGTAACGAGCGAATAAGATATTCTGCGACATTCGTGCGAAACGAATAAGACAAGCGCGACAAATCAATAGGAGTAGTTCGGAAAGTCAGCAATATAGATTGACATAACCTCTAAGGACAAGTTACACACCCTCGACAAATACAACGAAAATCGCCTTCCTTGATTTTGACGTGGCCACAGCTTCGTTGATGCTTCCCTCGAACCACTTCATCTTCGAAGAAATGTCACCTTCTACCCCGCTCGAAAACTTTCACGAAAATCCTCCTCGGATGACGTAATGTAAAATGATTTTAATTCACTGGAAATTTGTCCTGCCGATTGACGTATCAAGTTTTTATACCAAGCTCTCCAATAGACGATCGAAAGCTCTCGCCACAATGGAGTCGACGATCACCTGCACGAATTCGGAACAGGTGTTTGCATTAAAAGCTTAATAAATCGCCCAGAATGTCCATTCAATACCCGTCGGAACTAATTCTAACCCCACTACTTTTCTAACTCTGATATCACGGGTAGTTTAATCTCACCATAGAGATTTTTATGCAGCTTCGAATTTGGTCACGTAGAACTATTTAACATTGTGAACAGGGCTATAAACCTTCACGTATTAAACATAGGAACACCGGAATCTGAACCACGTTTTCGCCAATCCAGTGTTGCCATTTCTACATATTTAATCAGATATCAAGGCCGGAAGCAAGATATGGCAAATAAAATTCAGATTTGCTGAGCTGTCGTACAAATACTGTTTAATTTCTCAAAGTAAATGAAATGCTATTGATTCCAGATGTTCTCGCCATCGGTGACCCGTAAATTAACTGATTTTAATTGAACTGCATGTATTTATTCGTGCTAAAGTTGGCAACCCTGTCTACCATGCAAAGGTAAATAAGGATGCAGCATCGGACGTGAGAAGTCCGTTTACACCTCGTAAGAAGAGGATTTTTCAAAAGCCCCTCGACCCACAGACTGTCTAAAGAATGTCGCTGATCCTGAATAGAGGTACGAACTAGTCATTCAAATTGGCATCTCGAATCAGTGGATAATTCTCCTGAAAAACTAATTCTCAGAGGCATACATCGTCCCGTATACGATTGGCCGGCCTGTAGCGGTAGCCATCTCAATTTATTAAGCAGACGAAATTCCTGCGAGTACATCGATCGCTTTAATTTAACTCCTAAGAACACGTTAAAAAACAATGGTCGCGCGATTTGTAAAACAACCGCATCATTTTTTATCCCCGGGAGATCAACCGACGCGATCGCTCCCAAGCGACCGTGCTTCCAAACACGTACCTGCGCGTGCGCGGCGGCCATCTTGGCCGCCATCTTGATTTACGATATGGTAGAGGCATGCGCGTGATTTCGACGCTCCGGAACGCGGACGAGGAACGTCGTAATGGCGAGTGCGTCAGTGTCGCATTCCTGAGTGGCGATAGAAAGTTTCTGAGGTCCTCGTCGCCACGGCGTGGGCCGTCTGTTGGGGAAAAGCGTCAGGCAACGTCACGTGTGCCGAGCGTGAGAGCGTCGCGCTAATGAGCGGCCCTCGCGTCTTCGGTGCGCGCACCTGCGACGGTAGCGTGTCAGTGATTCATGTCCGAGGAGCATGGGAGTGAACGATACAAATAATACATGATAATCGCAGCCGTACCGAGGAGAGCTCGCCGGTCCGTTATCACCAGGAGAACACTCGGGAGGTCAGGTTGCAGGGACCGAAAGGAGGGACGTCGGACCGACGCGCGCCCAGAAACGCTGTGGTAATATGAGCCCTGGCCTTGGAGCATGAAGGTAACCGTGTGCTTTGACAACGTGAGGGTCGTCGTGCCTTGCGGCGATGGGACCCTCCTCGTCAGGGACCTCATGCACGAGGCCATCCTCAGGTACAAGAAGGCAACGGGCAAGAGCGACGCAGGGCCCACCATCGGCAGCCTGTCGTCGCTGACCGGAGGAGGCATTCTGGACCCGGATGATCGCCTCTGCGACGTGGCCGATGACAGAGAGCAGATCGTCGCACATTTCGTGGGAGACGGACCACATGCTGGAGGAGACGGAGCCAGTTCGGTAGGCACCAATAGCCCGGACTTCTTCCAGGTCGATGGTAGGGAGCCCCGGTATGCCATTGACATGCAACTCGGAGTTTCAACCAGCAGTATCAAGAGGGAGAGTACCAAGAGACTGTCTATGCACGCTCTTTCGAGCAGAGAGCCTTATCTCGCGACGTATTCGGCTCAGTCTTTGCCAAGAGAGTCGAGGAGAAAGGAGCCGCTGGGTCAGGATGCAAAGGCTTCTTACGAGTTCTCTGGCTTGAGCACCGACCCTGCGGAACGAGGAGAGGTCAGGGAGATAATTATTAAGAACGAGGCTGGACCGCTGGGTCTTCACGTGGTGCCTTGCTACGATCTTTCGGGAAACGACCAAGGCCTCAGGGTAGAAGGAATCGAACCGAATGGGCGGATTGCCAAGGATGGGCAAATCGGGCTGCACGATAAGATAATCAAGATAAATGGGCATAATCTCCTGCACATGCCCTTTTCCAAAGTGCAGGATATTTTTAGAACCTGTATGAGCGAGCCTTGCTTGCGGATTTCTATACTTAAGCATAAGAAGAGGCAGAACGAGAAGCAGGTTTCCAAAAGTCTTGGGAACATCAGGAGTAGCGGAAAGAACGAAACCGATGACAGTATCAAAAGGCTGCAGTGTAGTAATTATAATCTCTTGCAGACGGCCAACACTCGGAAAATTGGGAGAATGATCGAGATCGAGCTCACAAAGGGCAGCAACGGTCTGGGGTTTAGCGTTACTACTCGAGACAACCCTGCCGGGGGTCATTGTCCGATCTACATAAAGAATATTTTACCGAAAGGTGCTGCAGTGGAGGACGGTAGACTGAGGCCTGGGGATCGATTGCTCGAAGTGAATAACTTGGAGATGACTGGCAAAAGTCAAGCCGAAGTTGTCTCCCTGCTCAGAAGCATTCCACCTGGTGGTAAAGTCAGAATGGTCGTGTCGAGACAAGAAGAAGTGCCTTCCAACGCGTCGGAGTCACACTTCGGTGTATCCAGCACCGCTGCTCCGGAGTCTACCGATAACCAGCGATACTGGGACTCTTTACACCGATCACCGACCAAGAAGAACAATAATAACGACATTCCAGAGAAACTAGATAATAACCAGAGTTACGATAAGGTTAATTTCAAAGCGGTCAAGCCTTCGGAGGAAGTCGTATTGTCTCCACGAAAGAATCGCATGATTCTCACTCTGGATATACCGGTGCACGACTCCGAAAAGGCTGGCCTGGGGGTTAGCGTTAAGGGGAAGACTAGCAGTGCGGATGACAATACTAATGTCGACTTAGGAATATTTATAAAAAGCGTGCTCCACGGCGGAGCTGCCTCTAGAGATGGTCGTCTACAAACTAACGATCAGCTGTTGAATGTTAACGGAGTGTCCCTCCTGGGATTGTCCAATTCCGATGCAATGGAAACTCTACGACGAGCTATGCTGAACACGAACAGTTCCATCACGGGTGTTATTACCCTGACGATAGCGAGGAGGGTGTCGACTTATGACACATGCGAGAAGAACTTCCTGGACAACGTGTCTTCCCGATGCAAGCTCGAATCAGCTAATACAGTGTATATTTCAGATACATCGAAGCAATCCGAAGGTAGAGTTAAGGAGAAGAATGGTCTGAACAGTCCTGTGGATATCCTGGATAACGGTGCGTTGCTACCCACTGCTACGGCCTCACCTTGGAATCCAGTGATCGACAGGCTCACCGAGCAGTATAATAAAAATAGTCTTCGAAACGAAAGCTACTGTCTAGCTACCAACAAAACTTGGATCGAGCCTACGAGCAATATCAAGAAATTGTCCCTGGGGAGGGACGACCGGACGGAAGGTGTTCTTTTGGAGGAGTCTAACGAAGGCTCGCATTGCACCGATGGTAAGAAGAGCACCGATGACAAGGACAGTCAGTACTCTGGGGATCCTACGTACGATAGCCAACTATCATTAGAGGAGTTCAACTCTTCTACGAATAAATTCTCTCGCGACGCCCTTGGCAGGCAAAGCATGTCGGAGAAAAGACACGCAGCTCTGGATGCCAAGAACACCGATACCTACAAAAGGAACAAGAAGCTACGAGAGGGCAGGGAGAACAAAAACGTGGACTCGAAAGGTCACTCCGAGATGTCCGAGAAGAGGACCTGCAAGCAGGAGGCCTTTGAGAAACCTAATCTCAAATCCACTAGTGGGGAGAGTGCTTCCTTCGACAACAGGAAGCACTACGAAAAGTCTGTCGACCCTGTTCAGCCTGAATACACTTACACTATTTCAGGATGTGAGGAGAAATTCGTTTCCCCCAGGAAACACTGGCTCGTCGATGACGTACATACTGACATATCCAACGGCAACAATTTCAAGGAGGAACAGGATGGATTTTCCAACTCCAGGGGAGACGTCAAGCAGGCTTCCTTAAATTCTGCCCTGGACGACCGCTACAAACGTTCCAGAAAGAAGGGTGGCATCCGGTCCATGCTCAGGCTGGGGAAGAACAGGAAGTCCTTGAACTTCGGTGACAACATCGAGGCTCGCCACGAGTCTGGGAATTATTGCAGCGGAACGATTAATTACATCGCATGATCGCGAGGCACGGAATCGTCTCTCGGTTAGGAACAAAGTGAACGAAAGAGGAGACTCTGCGTTTAGATAAATTGTACAGAGTGTTACAAAATTCGTGGCTACGGTCTGCACGTCACTAACCTTCTTAAAAATATACTCGAGTCCTGGGGAATTTTTTTCTGCAGTGTCTAAATTGCCTGTAGTAATTAATCGAAGAAGCAAACAACCAGGTGCATCGATTTGTGAAACATGAATTAATTGTGAGCGAACTGTGCATCGTAGAAGAAAGTCCTACGGGACTTTTTTTATTCCATTCTTTCATATGTTAAGCCTCGAATTTTGTTACACTCTATATATATATATACAATTATGCGTTTTTCTCGTATCAGTATAATTCGTGCGCGCTGCCCCACGTGGTCTGTGACAGCTGGCGAAGCTCCTAGGAACGTCGTTCTATTGCGTCCTCCAAAGTGCCTTATAACCGCAAGACCTGTAATAACGATAAACAATTCTGTATATACGGTATATAATTTTTTACTTGTCTCCGACCAGTACCGACTGGTGTATCTGTCGAAGGAATAAATATGGTCGATAAGCGAGGTCCTGGTTTGTACATAATATTCTACGACTACTACCCGCGATGCCAGCTGGGAATTAATTTTCCAGGATTGACATTATCGAATAATCCACTGGTACGTGCAATGATGGAAGTACTTTTAACCCGTTCGCCCCTGAATATTATTTCTGTACAATAAATCGATATCATAACGGAAAGGTTGCTAATTATGAATTGTTGGGAAATTTTTGCCAAACGATTAGCAAGAAATTAGTAATACAGTTACAAAGTGTCTCTCTGGTATTACTATCATAATTTTTTTTTTTTTAATGGATTTTATATTTATTGATACATTTCCCAGGGCCGAGGGGGATAATTAAACCTTTAGAAACTAGGCCGAGTGCTTGTACATTTCTTGGGGGTTTCTGTTGTTACAGTGCTCAGAGAAGTGAAGCGACATGGGTTCGCCCAGCAGAAGAGGTTCCGAGGGAAGATCAATATCCAGAGACCCCAGAAACTGCACTTCGAGCGGCAGAAGGTGATGGACTTCGTGACGCCATTTTATCGCAGCCCGAACCTGGACATCCCTCTCTGGGAGAAATGCAGGAAATCGAAACAGGTCGAACGCGAAAGTACGGAGAACCCCTACAGAAGCGTCGTGGCTCGCATCGCGAAGAACTGGCTGGACAATTCGAAGATGGTCGCGTTCCTCCACCAGAACTCCATCAGCAAGTCCGACACGTTCGATCTGATGGTGGCTCTCAGGAAGCACAATATCTACCTGAAGAGCTACGGCAGGAAGACAATGGAAGAAGCCGTTATGGGCACGAGATTCGAGGCGATACTGTCCGTGTACTGTTCGGAAAATATGCTTGCATTCTGTACGACGGGAACTCCGGTGGCGCAGCTGGAGAAGACCTTGAAGAGGGCACCTCAATATATCCTCCTGGGTGAGCACAAGGTGCCCCACGAGACCGTCGCGACATCGGGATGGTCCATGTATCAGGGATTTTATTTTACAGCTGGGATCCTGGAGGGAAAGCTGTTGCACCTGAACGATTTCCTGCGCTATGGGAAAATGGACCTTCAGTCGACGCAGGTCGGTCTGGTGCAGGTGCTGCAGAGTGCAGCAGGTGGCTCCTTGAATCATCAGCTCACCTACCACCAGACGACCCTGGTGTCTCGTCTGAACCAAATCGCTACACCGGAGACACCGACCGATAAGACCGACCAGCAGGACGATAAGGACGAACAACCAGCGCCAGCCTGATCTATCTTAGCGACGAGTAATCGTAATTTATTCAACGCCGGAGGCCTTAAATAAATTACGACCGAGCAACCTGTCCCACCTTTATCGCGAGATAAACACATAGGATTAAAGAGATCGATTTTAAATGCTCCCTGCCGTCGCCTTTATTGCGTAACATGCGATAAGAACTTAATCGGACCGTCTAGAAAGAGCGGCGGAAGTCCAAGCACTGTCTGCCGACGATATCACACTCTCGACTCGATTCCTCCGTGGAATCGAGGGAAGGAACGCCCTGGATCCTAATGTGCACAATGGATGCACCTTCAGTGACAGTAATTGCAACGAGGGTGGCACTTCACGCCGTTCTCTCCGCATCGGCACCCTCCGGACATGTCGCCTCTTCCCTGTAATGTCAAAATTGTGCTAAAATAAGGTTCAATCGTTTTCGCAGGTTTCTAAGCGAATAGCCATTTTTTGCGGGACCAAGAGCGATTTTCCTGAATTTCTTTGTACCCACCCCGGGACCCCATCGCGGGCCTCTGGTCACCCAGCAGATCTCGGTCCTGCACATGGAGCAACGAAGCCAGTCGCAGCCCCACTTCTTCATAAGAACGACCGCACAGGTCGGACAGGACAAGGCCTCTCCTTGGTCAACCATTTTCTCCAACATGGCTGCCGTCATCTTTGACTCCTGGTCCGTCTCCTTGGAGTACCTGAGCTCCTCCTGGTACTCCCGGCAATTCTTCCCCGTATGGATCGCCTGCTCAAGAGGACGTCAAGAGGAATAGAATAGATACCAATGGAATGGAACACCATGGGACCCTCCCATGGGAATCCATCGACTCACCTGGCACGTCAGGCAGTTGTTCACGTTGCACACCGGGCACAGGAAATTGTTGACGTTATCGTCGTAAATGCACCAGCCGGGGCAATCCGGAGTTTTGCAATGGAACGCCGCGTTTCCGGCGTTATTCTCTGCCTGGGCTATTGACTTGTCCAGGTGTTGTTGGTAGACTTCCGGCGAGACCAACTATGGCAAAGGAAGAGGACTTAGAGACGCGAAAGGACCGCTTTACCGCGCTCGTAAATCCGGAGAAAACCGACCCTAGGAATATTTACATCTAGTTAATGATTAGGTCGGGTCTTGCGTAATAGTGTTTAGGGTAACTCGTATCTTTGTAGGCTTAGATGTATGTTCAGTTAATGTTTGGTCAACGTCCTATGTCTGGAGATTTTGGAGGGCTGATAATGTACCGAGAATGTCCCTGATACCTTATCACAAGGTATCTCGGGTTGCGATGGCCACGCTTACCGCTTTGATTTCCCGTTCTTGAAGAGTACTGTCGCAGGAGTACTCAGTGTTTCGGAAAGGACACTTTACCTCCGCTTCTTCGCAGTACAGAATCGTGTTAGCGATGCAAGGTCTAGGTGAGAAATGATTTTCAACACTGATTATTATCCAATTCTGTATAATTAGATATTTAATTGTTTCTTAAGTTAATGTCCTTTAATATCATGTTACAAGGTACCTGCAGAACATGTGGAGGCAGTCCCTCAGGATGACACCCTCGCGAGGTCCATAAGTGACGAAACACACAGGACACTCGATCTCCTCCGAGTTTGGAATCACGTCGCAGTTCTCCAGAGACATCAGCTCCTCGTACTCCACCATCCTCGACTTTTCTGGAGTGCATTCCTCCTTCGTATTCGATTATTCAGAATCGCGTACATTAATGACAATAAGGCTTAGGGAGATGCTAATTCAATTATCGGTCGCGACCGCTACACCTAGTCTAGTCGTCCAACCTTGTTAAATTAATATTTATATCTTACGTTAAGTTGAAATGTACCTCGAGCACTCGTTGCGGTACTTCGATCTCCTCGGGTACCTCTTCACGGTGCCGATGCTCGTCTCCGGGTTTCTCGACTTCCTCGGGGGCTTTGCCTACCCCTGCGACCGGGGCTTGGTCGACCTCAAGGGCTCTGCCCCCTGCGCCTTCGTTTTGCGGTTCTGATAGGAGCACTGATTGTTAATAACTAATTGTAACGTGAGATAATGCGCACTCGATGTACCTTCGACCTTGTCAGGCGCGACGAGGTAGACGAAGACAGGTGCGCCCTCGCTGATCTGCAGCTCTTCGAGGGTGGCCTCGTCGTTCGCCAGGTTGTTGCCGATTATCCACCGCTGCACGCTCGTCGGGATCTCCAATTCCGCGAAGACTTTGTTCTTCAATTGCGCCACCGTCATGTTCCTTTGAAGCTGAAATCGACAACGGGCGCTTATTTTCCCAGAGAGCCCAAAGATCCGTTTACTCGGCAACCCGAAGACTCACCAACAACGGAATAGGCCCTTGGTGAGCCAGCTTGTCCTCCACGTACATGTTCACGTTTACAATATTCTTAACGTTTGTAAATCTCTGTCGAATCACGGAACAGTGTATTTTCAACCTCGCCAACTCCTTGGCAAGGCCTGCGGCTTGCTGATGACGACCGGACGCGATGGCCGCCTCCAACCTCTTCAGCAACCGATTCACAGCCAATGTGTTCATGTCCTGCAGGGTAGAATGGTCCTCGTCGTCTGGGAAAAAGTACCACGACATTGTGTGTAATTTTTATTCATACAAAAAGTCAATGAATGTATATTTAATGTATATTTAACGTACCTTCTACCGGCTCAGGTCGTCCCGAAGGCGCCTCGATATACTTCGCCGCTTCAGGTACCTCCTTGACGTCCTTGGCGCTGTTATTATCCTTATCATCTCTAAGATCCTTATCACGCTCCACGGAAGGAATGACATTCGACGCGTCCTTTTTAGAGGGGAGGACAAGAGCGTTGGCATACAACGACTGGTCCATCACGTTTGCGTAAGTGTTCTCTTTCTTGTCTTTTGACATTTTCGCCGCCTCTATCCTGGCAAAGTCTCGCGGCCTTATCAGCTGGAAGGTGTTCTTGACGAGTCCTGGGGCACCCTGGCTCTTTCTACCCGTGGTGTAAAGCACGTCTTCGAGTTTCCATGAGGTGGAGGCTCCCTGGTTAACTCTTCTCACGTTTCCACTGGTCTGCACTGCCGAGGACACCTTCTGCCTGTCTTCTCTGTCGCTCTTCGGCAACGCCAGGTCGTCTTTAATCGAAGACTGATTTTTTATCAACGTTGTCTTATCCTTAACCACCGGTTCACCCTGAATTAATTTCATTTCAGGCCTGAAAACAGGGGAGTCGGATTTGGGGACTGGTTCACTCTTCGGGATCAGAGGTACGTCCTTGATATCGCTCTTAATATCCTTTTTAATATCGTTCCTGAAGAGCAGGGGCTCATTCATCACCCGAATCTCCGGAGGATGCGCAGTCAGCACAGCACTCAGGAAATTCATCCTGCTCTCGGCGATGCTGCTACTAGAAGAGGACGACGATTTTGGCCCCCCGGCATCCTCGCTCGAGGACCTCTTCGGCTTCGGCCTCTTCGGCAGGGAATGCTTCATCTCCTTCAGCATCTCCTTCAAGTCCGTCGTCGCGGGGTCCTCCGTCGTCTTCAGCGTCGTCTTCGGCCTCTTCTTCTCCTTTTTCTCGAATTCCTGGACGGTCCCGCTTTCATTTTCCACGACCCTCGGGAATTCCTCCTTCCTGGCGTCCGTTCTTGACTCTTCATCGTTCCTCGCTTCTCTTCGCTTCTCCACCTTCTTGATAGTCTGCCGCTCCTCGTTCCTGCCGTCTATTTTTACCCCCTCGTTTCTCCTCCGATCTATTTTCGGCGTCCCTTCGGCGTTCCTCTTTCCTATTTTCAATTTCTCATCGGGCTTACCTTCCACCTTTCCGCCATCTTGGATTCCCCTTGCGCGCAGAGGTCGGTTCATCTCGTTGAAGATGTCTAAAAATTCCTTCTGCGTCGCCTCCAGACCCCTCGGCTCCGATTTCGGTTCGTTGCTCTCATTCGACCGAGTCGACTTCACTCCTCCTTTGTTCTCTACTTTCGACGCCTCCTCGACTTCTTCGATTTTCCTCGTATACCGGGAAATCGGCGACCTCGGCGCGTCGATTTTTGGAGACGCTTCGGCCCTCGCGAGGCTACTTAATATTTTATTACCTTCCACTTTGACCTCGACTAATTTCCCATCCTTGGTAGACTCTTCGGCTTTCGGGGTCTTCTTCGCGTGCCTCGTGTCCAGGGTCTTCAGGTCGAATATGCTCTGAAAATCGGGCCCCGAAGAGGTCACTCCGTTTCGAGAGGTTCCTGCTTGATACTTGACCTCCTTCATGGCGTCGGCATCCTCGGTGATTTTCTTCTTCTCCTCTAAATTCGGCGTTTCATTTTTAGGCGTCCGAGGCTGCGGGAGGAAGTACCTGGAGAGGTCCCTGTCGACCCTGGAGGTTCTTCCAGGGCTGCTGGACAGAGGATACCTGCACCTCCAGTCGTCCTGGCGCTCACCTGGTGCACCTTCGGTCTTCGAGTCCTCCTGACCCGTCTTCGAGAAGAAGCTCGTGTTGACCGTGACCTTGGTGATGTTGCTGATGGCGTTAAACTTCGATATCAACGCCCGGGTGCCCCTTCTAGGGGAACTCTCCATCGCCGAGGTCACGAGCTCCTGAACGACTTCCTGGTTATCGGGACGTTTCTCCTGTTCCGAAAACTTGGCGCACTGCAGCAGCATCGAGGCTCTCGCCCTGGCCTGCTCCTCCTGGACGATGGCGGCGGCTTCTTTGTCCAGCTCGCTGATGTTGGCCAGGATGGACAATCCGGATTTCCTTTTAGCCTCTCTACGGCGCTCTTCGGTCTGCCGGTCCCGGTGGAAGAAGTTCAACCTGGACAAGGTGGAATCAGAGCTGGTTTTCTCCTGGGGTCGCGAGGAGGAGGTTTTACTCGTCGCCACCTGCTCCAGGTTCGTTGGACTCCTCAGGATGTCACCTCTTCTGTTAATTCCAGGATCCCTGGAGTGCTCGAACACGCTGCGCTTGTACCAAGGACGAAGCATGGCACCGTTCCTGGGCGTCGCGGTTGCTTTATTCCCCTGGGTCTTCTCTATCGAAGAGGATGCCGAAGAGTCCTGCAAAGAGGGCGACCTCGCCTCCCTCTTCGACAGGAGGACCCCTCCCTTCAGGACTAAGGTATCGTTACTTATCGAGGGCAGCTTGTCGTCCTTGAAGAGGTCCGCCATGTCCGAGGTGTTGAATTTCTTATCTTCAGGACTCCCCTGGGAGGTCGTCGAGTTCCTGTCCGGAGGAGGAGGGGCGGGCCGTTTGCGCCGAGCGCTGCCTCTATTTCTGGTGGAGACCTCGACATTGACGGGGTTTCTCGACCTGGGGATCGGCGGGTTCGGCGCTCTGCGTTTCCCCTTCACGTGTACCCTCCTGCCCCTGGACCCGGTGTCGGTGTCGGCTCTTCGAGGCTCCCTCACCCTCGCCAAGCTCCCGCAGGAGTTGAAGCTGTACGTCTGGAGGGAGTACCTGGTACCGATGTCCCCGCGACCGCTGTTCACGTTAGGCAAGGTGTTGCAACTCTCGATGCCGTTCTTCCCCAGCACTTTGGACGCCCCGGGGGCGAACGGACCGACCTCTCCGCCCTGGCTCACCAGACCTAGCGAAAATCCGTCCAGACCTTGAAGGTGAGACGGGGCACCCGCGTGGAACGCGAAACTCCTCACCGTCGTGGTGCTGCACAGAGTGTCGACGCTGTCGTTGCTCGAGCAGACGCTTCCTGAGAATTAGTAGGAAGGTAATGCGAATTAGTAGTTGAAGTAGGAAGAACGCGAGGTAGCCCCAGAATTAAGGATGCGAATTAACGCGACGTTCTTCCAGCTCCGGAGGGACCGTACCTTGCGACCTGTCGACCCCCTCGACGGCTGCCTTGACGTCGGCCACCTCGACAGAGTGCCCTCTTGAAATCGAAGACCCTCTGCGGAACCACTTGAAGAGCGAGAACCTACTTCTGCGTTCCAAGGAGGACTCCTCGTCCCCGGTGGACAACACCGAGCCGATCCTCGGGACCTCCCGAGCGGCTTGGGCCGACCCGGCGCCATTCAGAGACGCCTCGAGCTCCACGTTCCCGTTGGGCTTCTTCACCATCCTCGCATCCCCACCGCGCCAGCGGTCGAGCCTTTATCCGTCGTCGTTCTCTTTATTTAGATTCACTTAGAGCCTTTCTACCTCCTTCCAGGAGCGGGAGTTTTGCCAAACGAGTCGTTCCTCCACCTGGGGAGGAAACCCTATCTTCTAGTCGAGAGCCGGGCGTTCTCCTCGAGGTGCACCTAGATTATCTCCTTGTCAATGAATCTTTCTCCAATCTTCGAGAGTCTTGACGGACTCTCCTTTCTTCGGGTACATCAATAAGTCCTGGTCGCGATTAGTCAGCCTCTCTATTTAGAATCACTTAGAGGCGTCCCGACGAGACGTGGCCAGTCTCTCCCTCGATTTACATCAGGTTCCTTGGGCCAGATTTTTTATCGTCCTGCTCTTTCTTCTACTACATTATCCAGGATTCTACCGCTCGCTGGGATGTCTTCGGGGAGCACTTTGAAGGTACTCTTCGGGTTCATCTTCAAGATAGGTCTACTCTATCCGGTCTCTTAATGCCTTCCTCGGTTTCAGGTGTTCGCTGCTCGTCAAACTCTTCTTCTACTTCTTCTTCTTCGTCGCAGATACTGAAGATTTCGCCACGATGCGGATATAGGTGGAGGTGGAGTTCCCGAAGAGTCTCTTCTTGCCTGGGGTCTTCGAGTCTTGTGGCTGAGCTCTACTTCCTAGACGAAGACGAGCTAGTAGCGGGCGATCGGTCTACGTAGAAGACCTCGAAGAGGTCCCTTCGCCGGTCTGCGAGGAAGACGACCGGCGCCCTCGCCATCTTCTCTTCGCCCCTAGGAGGGACAAGGTGCGGACGGAGGAAATCTCGCGATTTCGGGAGAACGCGCTCCCGACACTTGTCCGAACTCTTGACAAAGATACACTAGTGACTACTATTAATAGAAGGCGCGTCCTCCTACCGCTGGTTATTTTCAAGTCCGCACCCTGTGCCTCCGCGGCCAATGGAATCAAAACAGGGGAACACCCGTGAATACATTGGTTTTGAGTTTTTTTTATTTTTTTTTTTCCTTTTCTTTTCTCTGAAGGAAATGCCCGAAACGTCTAATTGTCGCAGGAAGCTGTTCTTCTCCGTTTTATTTATAATTACATTTAAAATATCCCATGTTATTAATCCACGCGCACTGACTTATGTATGTCGCAGCGTATTCTAATTATTTCTTATGGTCGTGAAAAATCACAAAACTATCAGGTATTCCTCCGTCGCATTTTCGAGGCGCAATGAATCGTCTTCGCTAAGTGTAATCGTAGATTTAGACATTACGGGGTCTGTTGTAAATTCCGTAATTGCTACATCGGTTAGATTTAATGTGGAATTTTCATCCGTCACGGTACTCGAGATGTAATCTTCTGACGTGGACCGAACATCCTCGGCATTTCCTTCCAATTTATCCGTATTTAAAAATTCCCCAGTCTTCGGCTGCTTGAAACGAAAGTAGAATAGAGTTTCGCACGTTTCGTTGATATTAGAGCCCTCGTAACATCGGCTTATAAATTATTTATTAACAATCTTCACCTGAGCCTTGTATCTCCGCTGGCAAGACAGCTCTCCGGTTTTCCACAACCAGGTCGACATGATAAAAAATGTGCAGATTAGAAGGAAAACGAGCAAGGTGAAAACACAATTCCTGAAGGAAAGGTCTCGCTCTACAATCTCGCCTTTCACTCGATTTGAAATTTCGTAAGAGCGCATTATCTCGCTAATTATCGCGGATATGGTAAACTATCACTCGGAAGAATTCAAGAAATACTTCTCACTTTTTCGTGTTAAGAAATAATACGTTTTATGGGATTTCATACGTCCAAGCGAAGCTACTTTGAACTGGCGAGTGAAGCCCGTTGCAGAAAAGCCGGATGTGGTCCTGATAACAGCTTCCTTTTATACAGCCTCATCGGAAACTTTCTCACAAGCTGGCGTAAGATTAAAGTGCACGATTGATCAACCCTCGAATCTAGGAAATTAAACGAAAATTCGTATATGAAAAAATAAGCTACTCGAAGGATATTAAAAACCATACCGGCGATATGTTAAATACGTATAAGTTACGTCGATTTTATAATACAATTATCACAGATGTGTAAGCTACACAGGTATATGTATATATCGTACGTTAATATATATAATATAATGCGATTCTTGCACTCGCGTTTCCTCAGCCTACTTAAAGTATAATCTACGTATAAATTAAGTATCGTTTGATAAAAATATATGCTCATAGACGTTCTATTCGCAGGTGCGTTGTATCGAATTCGTGATAGCTTGAATCGTAAGGTCGTTTACCAGGTGAAGTAACTTATCTCCGTATGGAAGTATTAGCTCTCGGTACATCGGACATGATCTGGAAAAATTGGAATTAGTAAGATACTAAGTAACTGATGTTTAACTAGTTCACGGTGGAAGATTTGTCTTATACAGATACATTAATGTTTACCGTCCGAGGCAGTTTGTTGTATTTTAATTTCTGGGATTTCTCCTTATCACTGATAATCATTTCTTATGTTATCTGCCTTTTTGGTGCTGGCCTTTTTGGCTTAAATGTACCCGAAGCTTTCCTGGGCAGTTGAGAGCTCGTGTGCTTTTTCGTTTCAACCTGATCGCAGTTGTGAGTGATCAGCTGTTCCTTAGTTTTGAAAGCCTGAAAATCAATCTCATCAATTGTCCCGCACCGAAACACTTATTGATCGTGATTAGACGTACATGTGAACAAATCTCGCACTTGACGCTGTGCTTATTGATCTCGTGATGTTTCAGAGCCTGGGCACGATGAAAGTTCCTGTTACAATGGCCACAACTAAAACGTTTAATGTTACTATGCGTGAGGAGATGTCGTTTCAACTTGTCCGGCCTCGAGAATTCACTCATGCATCCTAAATATCCTCTGAAAGGACATTTCAGCCTCTTCGTCAAGTCATGGATCAACATGTGTCGCCCAAGACGATCTTTCCTCTTGAATCTTGCCGGACAACTCTGCACAAAATTCACAGATTAAGGCACCGATTAATTTATAAAGAATTCCTTTTTTCACACACTTATCGATAACGTACTGGGCATGTAAACGGTGTCTCTTCGCTGTGTATCAGCTTGTGATTGGCCAGATACTGTTCCGTCTTGAAGGCTTTCCCACAATCTTCGCAAGCAAAGCGAGCTAAGGAAACGTGAGTTTTTAAATGCCTTCGCAAGAACCTCTCGATGAGGAAACTTTTGCCACAGTGAGTGCACGTGTAATCGTGAGTGGTCGTGTCGACGTGATGCTGAAGAGCTTCGAGGTTAGAAAAAGACGACTTGCAGACCGAGCAGCAGTAATACTTCTCCGTAGTTTTCTGCTTTTGGACAGAGTGGGTGTACTGGTGGAGACCGAGGTCTGAGAGGGTGTCAAAAACTTGACCGCAAACATGACAGCGGTACTCGGATCGCTTATGACTGCGGGTGTGCTCAAGAAAGTCGTCCAACTCGGAGAACATCATGCTACAACTGGTTTGCACGCACTTATACACTTTCAGGGTCAGGTGAGAGACTATCAGGTGGCCCTTGAGAGCCTTGTACGAATCGAAGATCTCCTTACAGAACTGGCAGTGGTATGTGCGATCTATGCTACCATCGGGTGGTGCCTGCGGAGGGTGGAATATCCACAATTAGGAGGAAGGAGCTATTGGTGTATCTTCTTCGAAAAGCTCGGACAGAGGTACCTCGGGGGGCAGCGTGTGGATGGAAGTCCCGGGCCAAACTTTGTGCGAAGACATGTGCTTTTTCACGTTGGACTTTTGGGCGAACGCTCGACCGCACACCACACACTGATACGGCTTCTCTCCGGTATGCGAGCGTTCGTGCTGCTGCCAGTAAAACTTTTTTGAAAACTGCTTCTTGCAGTAGCTGCACTTGTACTGAATCAAGGAATGAAGGTTAGCGTTACAGGAAGTATTAAAAAATGGTCTTAAAAAGAATTTTAAATAACACAGGTATGGATGTAAAATGTAAAAGAGTTGAAAATGTCGAATCACCTTTAAATTTTGAGTTTGATTCAAACTACTTTCTTGGTCACTGGTATTGCAGGCATCGTCTTGCAAGTCAGTACTGGGGGGTGTACTAGTTACTGATTTCTCCTGAGAGACTTCATTTTGTAAATTTGGATCATAATCAGTTTTTCCATCGGACAGATCGTTGTCCATTTTCATAGTGGAATTTGCAAAGGGTTCTAAATTTTCTGTGTTTAAAATGATAGGTACGTTAAACCCTGACTCAGGAGTTAAATAGTTAGCACTTTCTTGGTCCATACTAAAAGAAGAAGTGTTTAAATTAGATCTAAGGCAATGTATATATAAAAATGGCATTTTTACATAAAATGATCGTAACAAACTTGAACAACATGTCCGTTTCTTCGACTATGATCGATCCTCCGGTAGGATCCCCTGGATCAAACGGCTGTTGGGGATCATATTGTGTTATATTTTGGTCAGAGTTCTGGGTTGTCGGACTTTCATCACTGACCAAATACTGCCTGAGATCGACGGTCTGTTCCAATACTTTTAGGTGTTCCCGTTTGTGTAGTACAAACATATGTAGAGATGTGAATTGACACTTGCACTTGCCACATTGAAACAAATCATCTTCTTCCTGGTCAATGGCTAAACAAAAGAATTACAAACATTACTCCGTCACTGTCTACACATTAATTCTTCAACTTATAACGACCAGTAATAATCAACGTAATGGTAAAACGTATAAAAATGGGATCCAGAGAAATTTCTTGATAACAAAAGATATTTTACCAGACTGTTCCACTTCCGTGATCAGAGTTTGAGATTCCAACAGAGACTGCACCATAGGACTGTAGAGCGAGACTCCTAGATAACAATAAGCACTCTACATATTTCTTGCGAATATAAACGCTCCGTAATTACAATTCAAATTCAAGAAAATCAAGCCAGCCAGCAATAGTGCGCGAGTAATTAACCTCAAGTGTTGCAACACTCACCTGTTAGAGAATCGAACATATACTGAGCCATAGTGACCGATGACTTAACCTAACATTTTGCTCGAGGAGAAGACAAATACCGTTCGCGACTCGATCACGATAAAATGCTTCTAAAATATCCTCATTTATTAACCGACGATGTTTCGAACGGAAGAAACAATTCACCAGCATACTGCCGACATGATTAACGAATGTCAAGAACGGTAAAAGAAAACAGACGGAAGACAGAGATGAGTTGGGAGATTGCTCACGGGCAGGGTTACGCGATCATGTCCTGTGCTGCCCCCAATGAAGGATGCGGACGACTAACGTACACATTCATCAATGGTTTCCTCACGAACCTACTGCCCTCTGCATACGCGCAGCGTACTAGCGGCGGGAGCAGCGCGGAATTTCAATCGCCCAAGGGGTAGAATGGACTTCCTAAAGAAAACAAAAATTATTAATATTATCTTATCTAACCCCTACTTTGATAAATAGAATACTTTGTTAATTTAGTTCTGGGGCTGGTAATGGCACGTAAAGACTTTCCCGTAGCGATAGATTATATTTCTTGGTCCTCTAAACATTTATAATATACACAACATACAGTACAGTACAATATGTTTATATAGCATTACTTAATAACCTGACAATGTCATCGATAATAAATTTGGCATCCGGCGTAATTAAAGTGCCCTTTACCCATCGACGTCGTTGGCATATTTTTCGGTCTCCCGAGAATCATTCCAATTGATTATTTCTGCAACTTTGATGCGAGTTTGCAAAAATACGAATCCATGAAATATCTCATATTTTCTATTAGACCTCTCGGTTCAATTTCGAGTCGAAGCGCTTGTTCGATATTAAGTAATTAATTCCCGGGCGTTGTTCACTTTAACGCTTTTTCGCGCAAACTTCACATTTCGAGTACATCGCGCCTTTCTCCCGCATTTACTCTATCGGTTACCGCTTAACAAATTGACATTTACACATACATGAATTATCGACTTCGAGATATGTCGATTATATATTTATTTCTCTCTCTCTCTCGCACTCGTTCTCTCGCACACTCTCCCTCTCAGAATGCACGTAAAATATTTCTCAGGGACTTATCGGGGAAAAAAAAAAAAAGAAAAAACAGTCAGACCAGTTTGCTATTGTTAATCGATTACCGCTTTTTTTCTCGCGACGATCGCTCTTCTAAGACTCATTTACGAATTTACACAACAGAGTCGGGGGACGAGTCTAAAAAAAGTTCCCAATGATCCTCGAGGACAGCAGATTAACGAAACTCGCGTTACACCTTAACGTTAATATATCCCACTTAGTACCTCTCGTCGAGTTAATTATTATTACACGATTAACATCAGTTTCTTCAGTGTTACGAAATATATCTCCGTGACGAGCCCGAACGACTCGACCTTCTGAAAACTGGAGAACGTCGAGCCAAGTAACAATTAACGAAGACAGCGCCTCATTTAATTATCTCCCTTTTTTTTCTTTTTTTTTTTCCCCTTTACTTCGCTAAGCGTTAACAATCGTCGTCTTCGTTTATCATCATCAGGTGAAGACCTGGCCCTCTCGACAAATTTTTTTAGAAGTTTCTCGCTCTTGGCAGTCCTGACTGTTCCACGAGTTTTCAATTTCCCTTCACAAAGTCGCGCGCTGCATATCTTTTTTTTTTTTCTCTCTCCTAACTCCTTTTACCGCACTGTTATTTTACTTTCCGCTTTTCGGTGACCCTTTACACCCCGTCGAAGTGTATCCGCGACTTTCTTTTTTTTTTCTTTTTTCATTATGTGCGCTTAGACGTGAAATATCTATCAGCCTATCGATAACTTCTCGATGACTGCTTTTGCATTTGCAAATTTGCAATTTTTGCAATTTTTGCAATTTATGCATTTTCTAATCGTGTGTCCAGTTCCCGCGACGATAACACTATGCTAGACGACATCGTGTGTTAAACATCGACATTATTGGATCTACTTGTAATGCTTTCTCTTATGCAATTAGGACAGTCTAGGTCGATTAGCCTCTTCTATTCCGGCAGGGCGACCTAACGCCGTTGAGCGCCGCTATTTACTTAATACCATACATTTGTACGCATATATGCATGTATATATCAAATATATATATGTATGTAATACGGTTGAATAAAGTACGGTACGACGATATACGTTCATAGTATCGTTAGGTTTACCTTGGCTGCGCACTGATAAAAATGTATTGAAATTTGCATACATCTTTCCACACACCCCGTAACTCAAGTTTCACCTGTGAGGGAAAAAAGGAAAATGTAATATTGCAGAGACAATGTAATTTTACTGCAATTCATTGCCAATTATCTATGTATGTCAATTTACACGGGCATTTTTATCAGTGCGCCTCGATCCGTAATTTGAGTTATCGCTATCCGAGCGAAGGTCGAGGTACGTCTAAGGTTGAAAAAGTAGTCGCCATTTTGAATGATGCGCGTTTCAGATCTCACCCCCCGAGAAACCTTCGAAACCGACATTGAAGTTACGTGACAGGGAGGAGGGTCTTTTTACTCGACAAGTTGCGTAATCGAAGGTCGCCACGAGGAAGGTATTAACGGTCCCATGGGAATATCGACGTAAATCGATAAACAATAGCAGTTACCAGTGGTTTCCAACAAGATCTCCAGGGGACCATTAATAATTCTTAAGAAATTGTGCTTTTCTCTTTCACCTTCGGAAAGAACACCAACGGGCTTTGCCGATTAAACTGCGATTAATATAATATAAATAAATAGCGGTCGCGATATCTCGACTTCGATCTAACATGATAATTAAAAAAAAGAAAGAGTTTACAATAGACACAGTAATCTTTATCACCGTGATGTCTCGCGTAAAAGGTGCGTCGATTACCGAGAGATAATAATTAATTACCAGGCGCTGTACCGGAAGTGCGTCCAGACCGGAAACGAGAGGTCCTGGGCCAGCCAGGAAGGAAACGAAGAAACGAAAATCCTCGCCCCGTCGAGGCTACGGAGATCCACGAGATCATCCTCCTCATAGATCGTGTACTTAGACTTATTCTCGACTTTTGACATCGACTAGAGACTCCCGCGTTTTGTTACATCCTGACAAAATTCTTCATTGACAAATCGGAGTCTGGTAGTCGGGGTGGAACTTCAGGGGGGTTTACATGACACTGCAAAAGGCCACGCCGTTATCAAACGCCGATTGTATGGCCGTGGTCTCCATGCAGAAGGCTCCGTCCTCGTACATGGTCGCGATTCGCTGTTGCTGGGCACGACTTTCGCTCTGCGACCTGAAAAGTAAATTACCTGCGGTAATGCCTTCCTCTACCATCCCCTCGAAAGTTCGAAAGTAATAAAATAAGGCCGCGAGTCGATTGTCGCATCAGCAAAATTCAAGCTCCATCGGAAAGCGACTCGCGTCCGCCGTTCGAAATCGAAGTTGGTCCTCCTCTTGCACTTTTGTCAAGACAAACGCCAAACAGATCCCCTCCGCTTTTAGCACATCCCAACAAGGCTCCACATTTGAAATTTCTCAATTATCGCCAAAGGAATTTCATGTGGAAAAATGTTTTTAAACAATTAATCGCCCCCTCTCGTGCATTCCCATTAAAGAGCGCCCCGTAAAAATGGTAATTTAATTTAATTAGAAATCTTAAGTATATAGAAATATGTTGAAAAATTCAAATGTCGTTTTTTCCCGCGCTTATAAACAATATTTCCGATGTAAGGAAATATTTTTATCACCTGTATCATTGAGGGGATGAATTAATTGACAGGGGCTCACCTGGGGGGCATGGGCCGGGTTCGCTGGATCCTGGCGGGTTGCTGCTTCCTGGGGGGCTGCTGGTTGCTGGAAGTAGAGTCCCTCAGGAGTTGCTGATGATGTGCCCCCTGGTCGACGTTGTGGGCCAGGGCCAGCTGGTTCAGGTACTCTCGCAGCTCCGGCTGGCTGGCCAGGAGGTCTCTTCGCACCTGGTGGATGTTGCTCGTCGAGTCTGACCACGGAGGTGGAGGTGTGTGCGATCGCGAGATCGCCGCATACTTGTGGCAGAGATATTCCTCGTAGGACGGCGGTAAACCCGACTGCAACATCGAAAACTGATCCCCAGGTGAGAATTAGTCCCAAAGAGGCCTTTAACCGATTATCTAACGATTTTCAGGTTCCCAGCGAAGATTACGACCCTACCGGTAAATAATTTCCCGATTTTGCAGTCCCATTTGCTCTTTCCTTGTTCTTCTTTAACCCTTTCAACGCGGAGCCATTTCGACATATGGGCGAAATTCCTCTGACCGGGCAGGCAATACTGGACCAAACGTCGGGCGCCTTTAGGCGCTCTTAGGAGCCATAGGGTTAAGGAATATATCGGCGGTGTTTAATTATTCGACTTGTCGTCGGGTTCTTACAAATTGCAAGGATCGATTACACCATTAATTCGGTAGATTAATCGACGTGGGGCCCTCGAGACTGGCGATTCAATTATGCCTTGTAATAAATCTATTCGATATTTTCATTAACGCGTTAGATTAAACCTGACCGATATTCGAGTATTTGCATGTACATACGTGTAATGCATATTCAATTATCGGGCCGCCGAATTTGCATACAGGTGGTACAAAGTGCCGCTATGCATATGTACAGATTTGAGGCGCGTTTACCGAGCGCGGATTTTCTATCTCCCGGCTCAAAGGGTGGAAATTAAATTCCCCGAATTTCGGATGACATTGACGTTAGGATGCGTTTGGAAATTTCCTGCGAGGGCGTATTAAGCTGTATTAAACTGTATTAAGGGTATCGATCGGGGGAAACTTTCGGGAGTTGACGTCGAAGGCATGAGAGATTAATCACGTCCCTGAAGTAACCCCTCGAGGAAGACCCCACCTCGGCATTGTCCTGGGGAGTATCCCTTTTTTCCCAGGTCCTTCCCTTCATCGAGCCAGGTTAAAAACTTAACTCACATAACAGAGACCATGAATCAAAGGCTCGTGAAAATTCCCGCGGCGCAGGGAAAATTTCAAACCGGCCGTTATTCAAATTAAGCGAAGCTCTTCATGAATGGAAAGAGCCACTAAAAGGGTTCATAAAATACGCCCTGGGCGTCCTCCAGGCCCCCGCTATGGCACGTCTAATTTGACGCGAAATTAAACATAAATTTTCCTTTTCTCAAGGTGGAAATTGAGTCACCGAGGAGAAGGTCTCCCTAAATGGAAAGTGGGCCAGATTCAATTTATAATCATTTCCTGTAAAACGTTGGCGATAGCGTCGTAGAATCCTTTCGGGCATTCTAGGACGTCAATGCTCCGTCCGGGATGGATCAAGTTAAAAATGTGAAAAATTCCTTAAACCTTTAAATCCCATCGTGCATGCCGAGGAAATAAGATCGAACTACTCCATCTCGATTTGGACAGAGATATCGACTTACGTCTTATCATATATCGCGAGAGCGTCCGTATATTCCGAAACGTCTCTGGGATATCGCGATTTCGCCTGGCCGAGGGAAATTGTTGTAAACAGAACTTCGAGATCCCCAGATTTATCGAGGGCTTGTCTTTCTGACAGAATGATGAACCGCGGCCACTCTTTGGAAAACAGCAAAGTCGAGGAAGTCGCGGCTCTTCGGGAGCCGAATCGCTTTTCGACGTATGCATATGTTAAAGGTAACAAAAAATGTATCTTCACTTTCCATCACTATTTACAAGGCAAATGTATCATTAGATAGTGCTGGAATTAGTATTCGATCCCTCGCTAAGAAATCTTTACTCGACATCTATCCTTCCCGGGCGCCATCTTGAAAATCTTCCGAGACGCGTCGAAGAGCCACAGAGATTTTTCCACTGCGCCTAAATGAATAATTTTCTCTTACCTGCCACATAGCAACATCGTAGGTAGGTGGTGGCGAAGTCATCGAAGGAATAGCGTGTACCGGCTGTGACCGGCTGTGTCCATTGACTTGACTTCCGGTAGTGCCATTAACGTTCCTGTTCGGCGAGTCCTGAATAGTCGTGTAGATCGCTTCCGTTATCGTGTCTTCTCGAATGTTGCCTCCGAGTATGCTCGAGCCGGAGTCTGCAAGGTATTGTCATTTCCCAAAATGTTCCTATTTATGATTGAACTATAAAAAAAAAATGGGAATTACCAATGTACGTGTAATGAGAGGTGTAATGCGAGTCCGTCCTGTCGGCGCTTCGAGTCCTCCTCGAGGCGTTCAAGCGCTTCTCTTGTTTGCTTCCGTTTTTCCCCGGCCGTCTCTGTTCCGCCACGGAAGTGCTGCTTCCGGTTTCCGGTGGCCTAGGCTTCGGGATCCTGACGGAGTCCTCGGATAATTTTTTCGGGGCCCTCTCGGTCTTTGAACCCCTCGAGTTCTTCGGAGTCGCCATGCTCTTGCTCGGGATGTTCATCCCGATGCAAGACTTTTGGGGCACCTGCGCGCACTCGCACACCGGCCTAGCTTCGTTAGGCATTCTGGAATGAAAAAAAAAAAAGCGAGAATATTTAATTAATGAATATTTAATTAAATTCGAGTCTATAAAGAAAACCAATCATCCAATAAATAGTATGCTCGGAAAATCTAGTGATTTGACATATGCCACGTTTAAAGGGTCTCAACGAGACAAACCAACTTTTAATTATAGAAATTATTCAATCCAGCGATTTTCATTACGACTATCCGGATAAAATGATTTGAAGATGAATAATACCGTTTTATTAAGTCAAGACCATTTTCCACGTTGGATTCTAAAAATGGCGTAAATCAACCTTTCGCCATTTTTGCATATATACTTTCGTAACACCAGGGAATTTTTACGACTGCTGTATGAAATTAAGTAATGACGTATTACTCGGTTAGGGCCATTTTCCATGGGCAGACGTCGATACACGGCCACGTTGGATTCTAATAATAATGACATTATAATGGCTCTTAGTGGGAGCCATTTCGCAACGATAAAATGGATATTGCGCCTCGATTCCCGTTAGTTGCCCCGGGACGCGTAATTGAATCTGCCCCGAGACTTTAGAGAGCCAGAGAGATATAATATCTGCATAGGGAGGAAGGGGTTGAACGTATAAGCAATATGATACGAAGCTTCGTTATATCGAAGATTACGCCACCCGTGATATCAACCTCGATGACCCACCAAATTTATATCACCCTTTCCCAAATTTACCCCCCACAAAAAAAGTCCGAGAAAATATTTCACACCTTCCCAAAAATCTATAATAAATCTACAATATACAATTCATGAATTTAATTTCTCCGACGAAAATAATCTCGTTTTAATTAATAATCCGGTGCCCTGGTCACTTGTCAGGTAATTTTACTTGGGGATGTAATCGCCAAAAAAAAAAGAATAATAATAATACCCGTAAAATTACGTACCAAGGGATTTTACTTAGACGCGTGATCGTCTGATGAAGAAATTCCCTGGTAAAGAAAAATTCTCCGAAGGGAGGGAATAATAAATAAAGCAACTTTAGGATAGGTAGGTCGTAAAGTCGCGGACTTTAATTAAACGTTCTCTTCGGAGGGCGAATGAGTTCATCTCGTAGCGTTGGGGGAAATCAAAGGATTAACGCGAAGACTCGAAATAAAAGGAACGAGAGGGAAACGAAGTTAAGGGAGGGGGCTGGAGGGGGGAGAAATTAATGTACCGGAGAATAAACCTAACGACGTTTGTCCGGGATAACGAGGGGCGATAACTTTTTTACTCGCCGCAAAGTGCGAGGGCTATCCGGCGGTTCCCTTTCCCCACCCTGGACGTTCAATTTCCTTGTAACTGGTTTAAGGGTAGGACGAAGGTAGAGGTTCACGGCGTCTTCCGGAAATCCGCGGAATATCGAGGAAATTTTCCCCGGGGAAAACGGAAGTCCCACAAGGGAGGCGCGCCCCGGACGTTTCGCGGTTTCGTCCCCGTCGAGGGTTTCCGCCGAGAATTTCCCACCTCGAGGAGGGACTCCGGGGACCTCCAGAAGAGGACGAGGTCGGAAAAGCGCCGGCATTTTCCTCACGCCCCAAGGCTAGGGGGGGAAACGCGACATGGAAATTGAATTACGTGCCCCGTTGCTAAATGAGCGAGGGTGTTCTCCTCGACTCGCTTCTGCGAGTATAACTTCTTCGGCGTCCTCTTCGACATTGACTCCGAAATTCCGCGTCGGTTTCCCGCTCGGCGGGAATTACGACATCGATTTTCCTCCCTCCCATTCGCGCAAAGGATAAGTGACTCGTGTCGGTCGGCTTGAAAATAAAAAATGATATCTTTGAAGGCAACCAAGAACCTTCTCACAAAAAAAAAAAAAAAATCCAAAATGGCGCTGGAATTCTAATCTCTGAAATTTCCCTGGATTTCATCAATTTGAGGTGGAGTCGTATTTGTTTCTTTTAGCACAAAGTTATCGGACGTCTACGCGACATGTATTTATTATAACTAAATCGATAAACGCGCTCGGGATCGGGGAAGAAATTTTGGGGAATTACATTTCCTCCATCTTATCCGGAAGGTCCTTTGACAATGTCTCAAGCACCGTCCCCGAGAACGGCTTCCAACTTAAGGGTCCTTTTTTAGCGATCCTCCCTTCTCACAAAGGGAAGCGGCGTTATTCAACGATTTTTATATTCCAGATAGGACGAGACTATTAATCCCGAGGATATGCCGAAAGGCTTTCCCCGAGTCCTGAAATCGCAATTTCGTCCTCGACGTGAAAATTGGGATTACGAATGCATCGATAAGAAACTTTACCCTCCCAGCTCTCGGTTAAATGGCCGCCGCGCTCCAGCGGGCGAAGATAATGGGGAGGAATAAAGGAATAAAGGACGAAAGGACCTCCTCCACCCCTCCGGGATTTTAAGATTTTAATTTCGGCGCCCCCCTACCCCAGCGAGAAGTTAAAAAGTTTCCCGATCTCTTTTCCGAGGACCAGCCGGAAAAAAGTGGAATTAGCATCTCAGAGAGCATCCCGAGGAAGGATTCCGATCCTTTTGTCGAAGGAGTCAGGACGCGGTCCTTATGATCGGGACGCGTCTCGTCGTCAAGGATTGTTAAATCTAGCGAGGGAGAAAAAAAATTGGAAAAAAAAACGATGGAAGAATCGCGTATCCTCTTCTTCGGAGGTCCTTTGAGGAGGCGGAATTTCGAGTCCAGGTCGCCACTCCTGCGCCACCTTTATCTATCGTGACAACAAAGGCTAGGTCGGTATTTATCGTTATCGCCCGGTAACACCGACGTGAATAGAGGAGAGACTTCTCTCGCCTTTGTCGGCCCACTCGGGATATCTCGAAAGCTTCCTCTCTTTGTTGCCTCGCTCCGGATTTCCCTTTGAATTAATTGCCGCCAGCTACCGCAATTAAATCCTGACGAGGCAGCGACTCGTCGCGTAAAAAGTGATCCTGTATTCCGTTCGGAGGAACGCTTCCGCGAGGTTACGATTTTCGTTATCAAGGCGATACGAAAGTGCCATCCGAGGAGTTTACGAGGTCGATCGTTTACGAAGCTTTTTTTTTCCCCTCCGAATTGGGTGTACCGAATCGTCTCGACATTGTTCAGATGGCACTTTCGTATTCCCTTAACCCTTTGGCTACTAAGAGCGTTTAGGTCACGTGATAGGCCGCCCGCCATCTTGTCTCTTCCGAGGGTAAGAAAAGACGCCCGAAAACGCGTCGTTTTCCAATCGGGTTTAATCCCAGGCAATTACAGACCCCGAGAGTCGGTCCATTTGGCCCGGGATCAGAGTTTCGGCTGGTATTTGTTCCCGCCCATCGTTTTTGCAATCCAGCTCGCGTTTTGCACTCGGGATAACAAGCTCGCGTCCCGGGAAGCGGGCCGAGTTCCACTTTACGACCGCGGCGATGCATATTCCGCGTTTCCCGATAAATCGCAGGGGTCCTTTTGATTAATGGGAATTGCATAAACTGTGCCCGAATTGAATCCCCCGGCTGCTTTTTCCGGCTGTCGCGCGTTTGATAGGTTAAGGCTCTTTATCCGCGTCTCGTGCCACGCCGGTCTCTCGGGCTCGATTTAATTCTCCCGGCCCTTGGAAAGCTCTCCTCGGGGTAAGGAAAACCCGAGCCTGGAAACTGAGACATCAAAAACCGAGAGCCAATGCATCAAATTAGCCCCCTCGCTCCGTAATGGTCCCAGTAAAAAGCGCGAACCCCCGCCCTCTCCGTGACGTTAGCCAGCCGCTTCGGAAATTAGCGCCCCTCTCGGCGGCACCGAAAAGCTCAATCGAAAGGGCCGGGGGCCGAATTTAAACGAAAGCTCCCCCTCCTAGGTGCGGATTCCCGGGGCCGTTGCATAATGCATGGCATATTTTATTAGAAACCCCGAGAGGGGTGGAATCAGGGGAGGGCTTATTAGCTCCTAGAGGGGTAGGTATCGCAGGGCTCTGCCATTACCGGCCCCGTGTGTCACCGAGGGTGGGTCGGGAGGAGGGCAAAGACCAGCCGGAAAACCGGGTCATACCGGGCCTCGAACCAGTGACACCGGGGCATCGTCCACCCCCGACCCACCCCTGCAACTGGGTCACCTTTTGCCCTCCCTCTTCGCCCCTCTTCGACCCCTCGAACGCCGATCCCACGGGCATGCACCTATTCCCGACTCCTCCTTCCTATCTTCTCCTCTTCCAGGCTCAAAGGGTTCCTTATCATTTTTCCACGATATATCCTCCAGTATCTGCGACTCGGTTCGCGATTATTCTTCCTAATTCGCGTATTTAAAATGAATTATTCTAAATTTTCCACGCTTTCATTTTATGTAAATCCCTTTCGGCATGATAATTCTCAAGGAATCGGGCGATTTTATTTTTGGTATATTGATATTTTTTACCCCACACTCGTTATCCATACTTGGGATACCCGCGCCCTGATTTGTTATCACGTTATCATGATGCGTCTTTTGGCTGAGTTTCTCAGGTCTCATTTTTCTTTAGGTACCTTTTCTTTAATACGGGGTCATTTGGGGGAAAGGATAGGGGGACTTTCGGTTAGGGTGGGTTTTCCTAACTTCGAGTTTTTCCCCCGGCGATCTTAAATTATCCGTAATCTTTTTCCCACCTCCTCGAGGGTATCGATAATTCGAATATGTCGAGGATGATTTACGAGCTCCCTTTTGCGCGTCTTCTGGTTCTCCCTTGAGACCCCTCTCGAGGCATCGACCCAATTCGTCGACTCGAAGAAGCGACGAACTGGGTCGAAAGTGGCTCCCCTTTAAAGCCGAGGACCTCTTTTCCGGCCAAAACTTGCCGATACTCCGAGGGAAGGGTTTTATACCGTGGAAATTATACAAACTCATACGTTCGATCATTTTTATCTATTCTCTTCGATAAGGAGACTTTTATTGTCCACCGCGCAAAGGAACTTCTCGATGCATCGGAAAAAAAGGTTCCTTCCGCTCGAAACTAGCGCATCGAGCATCGCGGGAATTTGTTGGACGCGATTACGATGATAATTGGATTACTTTGCTCGGATT